AAAAATACTTGTTTTGAAAGAGAAAGAAAGTGCTAGAAAATAGTTTATCACACATTTCAAAACTCCTGTATAACGAGAGCACAACTCCTCTCGGTACAAAAGTCAAAAATTTACAAAAAAAAGGATATCAAAGATATCATTGAAACCATGAGAACAGCACATTCACAAAGTATCATACTTATGGATCTTCGAAGATATAACTTTATTCGAAAAAATCTTGATCATTAATTAGGATACAACGTATCAAAAATGATATTAAAAAATTTGCTGGAGTGCTTGAGCGCATGCCTGATAATATTTTAAAATCATTGGCCAATGGGGAGCAAAATTACACATTCACCAAATATTGACTTGGTATGCTTAGGTCATTTTGCTTAATGGTTCATAAACCAGTAAATACATTAATGGAAAGAATTTCCTTTATATATTGCCCTTTTGGTCCTCTCATGACAAATCACATTTTTGGCAAAAAATCTACAAAGAAACAAAATGACTTAATTATGATAATTTAATCAAAGAACTTGAAGTATTATCTTGATGCAGATTACTGATTGGATGTAAAGTGGAACGGTTAAAGTGAAAAAATTAAAATAGATTAAATATTTGATCGACGTGTGGACCAAAGTCTATGGTATAATTGTATGCATGTATGTACTGTACGTACGTACGTACATGATGGTGCATCGCGTTTTTCCTGTGGCATAAATACATTAATCAAGTTGCTGGTGTATATACTATATTATGCTTCTAATAATACGTACAAAAAAATTACACTAATAAAAGTTATGCGTGTAGAACTTAATACGTATCAAACATCGGATAGTACAAATAAAGTATACGTACGATGGCATAAAAATACAATTACGTACAAAGTGAATCTTAAATTTTTTTTTTGACACGCCATTTTTTTATTTTCAGGCAAAATGGCTTTCGGAGTATATACAGAATAGGAACATCACAAATATAAAACTATAAACTATAGATGCAGACATTTAAAGTATGGTTACGTCCAATTGACACGTACAAAAGTGTCATACGAGGTAGTTCAATAGTTACGTCAATGTAAAAAGTTACGGCGATGCAAACATCATAGCAATTCAAAAAAGTTACGAAAGTTCGCATTTATTGAGGTTAAATCCTAAAATTAAAATGATTAAATGCGTACGAACTTGCAGGCATACATAATCTCTGGATTTACATTTGAACTAATATATTATTTATATATCTACAAAATAATAAATTATCAATCGATGTATTTTGTAGTATTTAATAGTACTTAAAATATCTTTACATTATCTTTACATCATCTTTACATTATCTTTACATGATGTATTAAGTTCTTTATAAAGGTCAATATAATTTAATTCAATTTGAAAGTTATCGTAATGAAGATTTTAATTCTATTTCATTCATGAGGATAAATTAACGCATTTATACGTAATAAATTCAAGTTTGTGAAATTTACATAATATTTTTCTTAGCGAGGTTTATTTGTTGGTGTATAAGGTCGTTTATATTTGATAATTTGTCTAATCTAAAGCTATGAATTTATACAGATATAACAATATTGTATGTATAGATCTTTGTACAGCATGATAAATATGTAACGATAAATCAAACATAACGTATAGGTCAGATGTTACGGCATAAGTCAGATGTTACTACGTAAGTCAGATGTTACTACGTATTACGATACAGGTCAAGTATTACGGCATACGTCATTTACGGCTTTTTTGACGTGTCATAATGTCACTGAGTTACGTCCAATTGACGTTATATAACTTCCTCATAAGTATATTCTTGATACGATCCTTTTTTTTTTGCGTAGATTAGTTTTATTTATAGCAACTTCACTTAAAATTAAATAATTCACATGATTATCGTCTAGCTCTAAAGTTTTTTTCGGATCTTCGAAAGTGATTTAAAAGTTCTGAAGCTGTTAAAATACAAATACGTTAAAAAAAAAGATTACCAAACAAAGGAACATCTATTTGTACGTGAAAGTATATTTTTACTGATAATGCCATAATGTTACCGTATTTTTGCGAAATAACGCCCACCTGCGCGTTATTTTGAGTATATACGCGTTATTTCGAATACGCGCATGGACGTTATTTTGAGACAAATATAAAATTTTTAAGTATCTTATATGAAACAAAAAAAAATGCATCGAAACTAGGTTTTATACTGAGTAAATCTACTTTCGAGTTTTAACAAAAGTTATTCTTCAGTTCAAGACGATTCTAATATCGCTAAAATCATCAAAAACAGTCTAGTATATCGCCCGAAACAGGCTGTTTACTACGATATGCATATCGTAAAGATAAACAGTTCTAAAACTTTGGAGAGACATTGTGGGTGATATACTGGACTGTTTTTGATGATTTTACCGCTGTTAAAATCGTCTTGATCTGAAGAACAGCTTTGTTAAGGCCCGAAAGTAAGTTTACTTCGTATCTAACCTAGTTTCGGAGCATTTTTAATATTACTATAAATAAATACCTCTTACTACAGGGGTGCGCGTTATTTCGAAGCCATATATGTTATCTTTAAGGGTTACAATTTTCGAAATAACGCCCATGCCGCGAAAATACGGTAATAATATCTGTAACTCTTTCACAGCCACTGCCTCTAACCAATTATGAAAATGATTATTGCAAAATGCAAGCTTATTGAAATTGAAACAAGAAATGGTTTAGCAAGAAAATAATGAGTTTATTGGATTGAATGTACTAACATATATGCATTTATTTCTTGTATTCTATATCCATATTCTGATATTCTGATCACTAAATCTTATTTCACAATTGAGTCACAGATTGATTTATTTTTGGCTTGGGTGAGCTTGCGATTTGTACTACACGAAATTATTTAAACCCTCGTTTGTGATATTTTAAATTTTTGAGCCCTTGTATATTGTGACGGGCAAAAAGTAACATTTCCGAAAATAAAGATAAAACTGTGCGTGAGTAAAGAATTAAAATGCCACAAATATCAGGGCTTCGCTTGTTGGCCAAATTGATAATATCGACGAGTAAAGTAAATAGACGCGAATTTAAAACACTCTCAATGAAAGACATGCGTGTCAGCGTGTTTAAATTCTAAGCGATGCCTCAGGTGAAAGAATTAAGAGAGGATGATCAAAGCCTCTTTTAATCATACATCCAAAAGTTATGAAGAGCGTAAAATCGAGAGCGGTTGTGCGAGGAAGGAGCACATATGGATCACTACAATAAATTTATTATAAGACCAAATCGCCATGGTCACACTTCTGACGAGTTGTTTGTACTAAATTCCATGAGTCGATAGCATAATCATGTGTAAATAATATAGAAGGCTATCCAAGGTCGTATTGTCTACTTTGAAAATAATTGCAAAATTATACTTAACAGTGTAATGAGAGCAGGGGTCAGGGGTTGTAATGAGGTAAAATTACCCTTATAAATTACTTGGTAATTTACCTAAAGTATAGTAAATCACCTACATATGTAATATTATAAGTCGGGGATGATGCTGAGAATCTGGGTCTCAATTTAAGAATATAACCTCTACTAAAGTCCACATATACTCTTATTATAAGCTCTAACCTTAAATCCTAACCTAACTCTAAAAAAAAAGATAGCTAAAAATATTTTTAAAATTTTATATTAAAGTAATTTATATTCTCAGCATCATCCCCGACATTTCATATTAAACAATATTTAATTTGACCATTCATGTTATAAAAATTTTATCAGAAATTACCAAAAAAGTTGGTAATTTATAAACCCGGATAATTAGTTGCTCCAGCCCAAACAAACCCATCTGGATTAGAAACAGAGAGCCAAACATAAAATCCATTTATCGATTCTCCCGCACAATCAGAGTTAGGACTAAATGTATCACCGTTTGACAATGAGCCTGATGTTGAACCATTAATACATGGTAATGATCTTATTATAATTCCATCTGATGCTGTAACTTTTACCACATTAGAGGCAGGAGAAATTGGCAAAGCACAACCACACTGCGATAAAGCCAGTTGAATAAAATTGGCTAAATAAATACTGCTGATAATGAGCAAAAAGTTTTTGGCGTTCGAATACATTATTAATTTCAATAAGCGAAATTTGTGTTTGTTTGATTTGGTATTCTGGGTGAAATTTCAATAAGCGAAATTTGTTTGATTCGATTGATATCCACTTTTTGTTGTAGTATATATATGGGTTTGGATCAAACTCACGACAAACAAACCCCCAAATAAACAAATTAACAGAAACTATAGTTAACCTAATTTGTCGGGATTCTGACCTGTTACAAAATGTAGTTTCAGAGTGTGTGATCTATAAATCCTATTTTTTTAATGCCTATAATCGGTAGATATTTACCAAAAGAAGCTAATTTTATCACCCTAATTTCCTGATTCGGAGGAAAATAATTTAATTCTGAAACCACCTAAGATTAAGCATTTTGTGTTCTAGTGTTATGAATTTGTATTTGTATACATAATGATCGCAAATATAGTTGCCATCCAGACTGTATTAATCATTAAACTCAATTGATTTGGTCTATAAGAAACAAAGGTTGATTAATAATTAGTTTGAACACTTAAAGACGTAAAGATACAATTTTCGCTTGACATAAAATTATATATTCTTATATTATACATGCCACATAATTTAATTACGATTGCAAAGTGATTTACATGATATATAACTTCTAGATTTTATGCTACACTAAATTTAACATAATATTTTGTCATTCTGATGAAAAATGAACAGTTTGCTATGTAAAATTTATTCATTTCTTGGGAAAATTTCTACGGTGCTATTATTGGAATTTGATAGTCTGAGATACCAGAACGTGAGCGTGAGTGTATGGTAATAAACGGCAAATCTTAAAGCCGATTGGATTGTACGTTGACACAATTCATGGTTTTTTCACCTCACGTACGTACGTACGTACTTTTAAACCAAAAAATTTCATTAATCATCAGTCACCTAATAAATTGGGTATAAACCTAGTGATTGTACTTAATTGAGTATATAGGAAAATTTAGGAAAAGTCTGGAGATTATATAAAATCGACTTAGCCGGCTAGGTCAGTCGATTTTTAGAAAACTTAGTCGATTCTTAATTGAGTATATAGGAAAATTTAGGAAAAGTCTGGAGATCAGATAAAGGCGATTGACTTTGCTTAGTCAACGAATTTAGGTCGACTACAAACACTACTGTTACTGTATGTTACCG